GCTGGCTACAATAACGTGACTTCAGAGTATTCTGTTGCTGGCTACAATAACGTGACTTCAGAGTAATTCTGTTGCTGGCCACAATAACGTGACTTCAGAGTATTTCTGTTGCTGGCTACAATAACGTGACTTCAGAGTAATTCTGTTGCTGGCTAAAATAAGGCGACATCAAAATAATTCTGTTGCTGGCTACAAAAAAGCGACTTCAGTATAATTCTGTTATGAACTTTTTTCTCGAGTTTTTTCAGTGAAATCTTGAGTATGAGCATAGAAGATTATTGAGTCTTTAACGTGGTTTACTGTATGCAATATACACAATTGTTAACCGTTTTTTAAATGTGTAACTTGCGTGTATATATACACTATAGGCCTTTTACTGTTAACTATGTGAATAAGACTTATCCATACAGAGTATGAAGCGTTGATCACATTTTATAAGAACGATATGCATATGCAGACGCAGTGGTGTCTTGACATAAATATTACAAGCCATAGACACCAGAGTTACATGTTTAGCACCCATACATATTTGATTTGCGGCCATGGATAAGGTTATGGCTGGACCAATACAAAAACCATCTTTTCAGAAGAGAAATATTTCTACAAGAAGATTATTAAACGATGTGGAACCTTAGTACACTATATTTTGAAGAAGTGAGTCATCAGTGTAAATATGGAAAAACTCACTTAGACAGAGCGTTTACACCAACAACGGGTTCCGAAACAAATGTCAACCAAGAACAACGTCAATAAGACAAGAAATAGGAACTTGAAGTTGACGATGGTTAGCCACACCTTAAAATTAACGACTGATTTCATGAAAACTGGAATCATGGCAACCTCTATTCAACCACATATTTGTTAAGTCATCAGATGCAGCTTCAATGAAAACTTTCATGAAAACTGGAACCACAACACCATCTATTCAACCACATATTTGTCAAGTTATCAGATGCAGCTTCAATGAACTTTGCTTGAACGTGACCTGGGAAGCCGACGTCCACGAACAGTGGACAGTCTCTGTAACACTTGTAAAGGCATATGGTCAGAGAGTGACCTGTCCTCCTTTCTTAGAAGCTTGTTACAATGGAAGCTGTGGCCATCAAACTGAACGCGATTGACCTTGGAGAATGTAATTCCAAGGGTAGCACGCATAGGGGGCGTGAAACATGACTTTATAAAGTATTTGACAGTTGACGTTTCTGTCACCTACGTGTGCTCTCTTTTGAGGTAAGAAAAAATTGAATTGCCAAATCGCTACCAGTACGTATGCTTGTTTGTTTGTGAATTTCGCGCAAAGTTACACGAGA